GATGAAGTACTGGGTAAAAAACAAGCACATAAACCGTTATTTATTTTTACTTACTGAGAAATTATCTTCTTTAATAAGAGGTAATATCTGTTAATATTTTGTGGTGTTTTATATATCGGATGGGTATCTGTAAATGAAAAATAACGACTTAGAAAAATACGCAAATATTTCGAATTTCCACATACATATGTAAGGTTTTTGACACAGTCGTTTAAACTTTTATAGCTTTACCTTTAACTTGTTCCTCATTTTTATTACTCTATGTCCTTTCCTCGTCCTAACCCACTTTTTCAGTAATTAGGAATGGTCGATCAATGATCAATGTACGGAATATATAAAATTAATAGAATTTCACTCAACACATTTCCGATAAATTCAAGACTAATTTAAACTCTATAAAATTGAGTACTTTTTAAATATTAATAAAAATATTCAATAAATTTTGTTTGCTATTAAATGAATTTTTGTTTTTAAATAAATTTTAGGTTTTTAAATGTTTTGTTTTTAATTAATTTGGCTCTATTCTTAGTCGTGCTATACTGAAATTAATTAATTACTAGATATTATAGATTTTTCTTATTTTTCACAGGATGAAAAACCGACGTTTTTAATATTCAGAAAGATTCAAAATTTTGAAGATTTTGTATTAAACTATAAAAACATTCTATTTGTCAAATTGTCGAATAAAATGAATATTTTACATAAAATATCTGCCATATTTATTTAATGACACAAGTTATAATATATAAAATTGAACATGTAAAGAATATTTTACTTAACACATTTAATAAATGACATTCATTATGAAAATAATAAATATAACATTCATTGAAAAAATGTAAAATACTTTTTGCATTTTAAATTTCATTTAATTTTACTGATATGTAGGAAATTAATAACAACTCAATATTTAAAGTTTAAGTAACTGAATAATCGAATTCAAAAATATATGTTGTAGTAAATACTCAATATTTTACAATTACTATTTAAACATTTATTATAATTAAAAAAATCATTAATATACAACTTTTCCATAAATATAAAATCTTTAATTTGAAAAAAATATCTGAAACATTATTCATCTTACATGTAATTGCAAAAATTTATCGGTTTAAAATTCAGAATCTTCTTTACTTATAAAAATATAGAATGAGAATATTACAAGTACACTTACTTAGAACTTGTAGTTATAAATAAACTAACTTTTAGGCTGAAATATTGAATTGTGTATAAAGTTAAATATAATTATATATTAGGTTTTGTAATAATTTATTAACAAATTAAATTTTTTTTTTTTTCATAAAATTCTAATTTATCATTATAGTAATAGGGATTGTATATAAAATTGATATTATAAAACTGTTTAGAATATTTTCACAACGTAAAACAAGACTTCGATATATTTTTAATCTTTTTTAGTCTTCAAATATTCTTAATTTCAAGGACTTCTTACATATTAAGTATTATGAAAAATATTAAAATAGCCGTAACTTTATTCCTTATCTTATACATTGCAGCACGAAATCATATTTTAACATTGTAAAATATGTCGGTAGATTAGATAAATGAAAATTGAGGGAAAAAAAATGCTAAGAAAAAATGGCATAAAACTTACAATTAAACAATCTCATTTACAGAAAAGAAAATGTTTTCATTCAATAATATATTTCCCAATGTGCATCAAGGCACAAAATTAATTTGCTCGAAGAATAGTATTATTAGCAGTTTATCGATTTCACGTAATTTAATAAATCATTCGATTTTTAAACATGTGAATCTGCTTATTGTAATCGAAGCAATTACTAAAGAAATGTTTAAGGGCTCAGACGATCTTGACATCATAGTTTACTTCTGAGTGCGCACCTTAGCAGAACTCGCTATTTCATCAAACGAAAATATCTTGGTCTACGCAACCTGCATAAATTTAAAGTCTCTCACCTTAAATTTTTCAGAGGTTTTTCCGTCTAAATACAGGCCAGGATAAAATTGGTATTCAATATTGACCAAAATAAATTACAAACGACATATTAGTAAGTCAGAAACTTTTCGATACTTGATTACATACACACACACACACACGCGCGCGCGCGCGCGCGCGCGTATATATATATATATATTATATATTATATATTATATAAAATTTTTAATAATTGAATATTGATCTTTTTACAATTTTATTTAATATACTTATCAAAGATTTAATATTACATAAAATATTATATGAAATCAACTACAACTAATTTTAAATATTTTGTTATTGCTTTGAAATTAATGTGATAATGTTAATTAATTAGATGAATAGATTGTAAGAAAGATAAGTATTTTTCAAAAATAATAAAATTGTAAATAAAATAATATTTCGAATACAATTTTTAAATATTTCACTAATTGGCTACGTATAATTTAAATAAAATAAAATTATTTATATAATTAGCTACTAGATATTTAACGAATTGCAGCTTTATTCAATTCTATTCAATATCTAAATTTCTTTAAAAATTATATAAAGAATTATATATTACAATTTTTTAAGAAAAATTGTAGAAAAAAGAAAAGTTAAAAAAAATATCACTGTAAAATCCTAATAAGAATTATTACTGAATTGAAAATTATATGTAATTAATTACCCTACAGTGAAAACTTAAATTACTTTCGTATAATGATTTATTTGATAAAGCTAAATACTTCTTACATACTAAATACTAAATGATTGCAACTCAATTTGTACGTTTGTCCCTACTTACCAAGGTGAAACTATTCTGCGAAAAGTTTAATTTATTTCAGATTGTTCTTTGTGTGACTGATCTCCTAATTGAACTAATCTAATATGTTTTGAATATTCTACAATCCCAAGAACTAATTTTAAAATATTGTTGATTTAATATACCATAATTTATTTTTATTTTATAATTATGGTTGCAAATAATTTTTAGGGGATTATTCGAACAAATTACATATATTTATAACACTACGAGATTATTTAAAAAAAAACAATATTTAATATTTAAAAAAAAAAATTATATCCAAAACTATTAAATAATTTTTTAGTTTGAAGTTGGTTTTTAATAATTTGTTTGAATAGTAAGTAGAGCAACTATAAATCAGTTTGAAAATAGAAGCAATTATAATATTTTGTTTAACATCATAATTAAAAAAAAATGTTAATTTCAAATAGTTTTCATTATAGAATCTATATCAGAATGCTTATATTAAAAATTGCTATAAAGATACAATTTTTTCCACATTCAACATTACATATTTTTAGGTTTAAAATCTACTGGTTGGCTTAAATTAAAAGCAAAACCTATTAAATGAATTAAAAACATTTCTGTTTTTTTCGAGGTACTTTCACTTCAACACAAAAAAAAATGTCGCTGTATATTTTTTTATTACCGAACATTACACAATTACAATATCTAACTAAATACTCTAATTTAAATCACTTATTATCTCGTATTATAGCAGCTTTTATCAATCTATTTCTTTATCTTTCATTAATCCTTTTATTAACTATTTATAACATTAATTGACTGCGTATTTATTTTATTTTCAAATATGAAAATTAAAATTTAAGGAATAAAATAATCAGTAATCTGATAATATCACCATAAATTGACTATGTTGTTTTTTAATTATCCGCCCATTATTATTATTGATTTAACATTATACATTTCAGGTCGTATCAGTAACATATTATTTTTCAAATCTATATGTATTTTTATCCTTAAAAACTTAATTGTACTTATACGAATGACCTTTAATCCCAAATTGCCAAATCACGTGCCCACATACATGAATATGCATTCATGTAAGGAAACACATAGTGTAGAAGTAAAAGTTCACCTTCGCATACGTAAAAAATCGTAAATATATATAACTTTATAATATCTTTCAATTCGATAAACTGAAGAATAAAGGAAAATGTTTTGTCTTAAAGTGAAAATTTGGCACAATTTCTAGAGATTTTCATTTTTTTCTCCGTCTTTATTTTAAAACTCTAAATTTAATAATAATTTACTAGTAATGCATAAGCTATCTTAAAATATATATAACAGACAAAGGTTACAAATATTCCATTTCTATTAGACAGCAGTTTTTCTATACAAGAAGACTGAAACTGATCAATCTAATATCATATCCGGCTAAAATTAAAAGCCTTGCAGCAAACAATACTTGTAAATCTCACATATTTTGTAGTTATTATTAAGAGATAATAATAGAAATGATTCTTCCGTCAATCTTGTAAGTTTGATGAAATAGTAAATGAAAAGATTTTCAATATTAACATTTTTCATTTACTTCCAGAATGAATTTGTGAGTTTAGTCACTACAGCCTGCACAACACAAATTACTTATCACATGATTAAAGAAAAACCCTAATAATGAAAAATGTTCAACAACAAATTGGTAAAAATATATGTCCATAAATTAATTCGAATTATATTCGAAGTATGTACAGTGTACATCATTATTTTAATAAATATTAAATTCATCAATTATATTAATCAGAAATAAAAAATACTAATTCAAATAAAGTCGAAATAATATAAAATAAATAGGATAAAGATTAAAAATTGAAGAATTTTTAATGTTGGGTAATAGATAAAAGAATGTATTCGTAGTCACAGCAATAGTTTTTATGGTTAATAATCAAAATATAATACAATATTAATGTTCGCGTATCATTGTAAAATATTTAGTAATAACAGTAATTTTGTACTAGGTGTTTTAAATATATTAATTTAAACATATTAATATATATTTATATTCTTCGAATTATTATATATATATATATATATAGATTATTATTATATGGATTATTATTAACAAATTAATTATTTATAAATATTATATTATAGTAACCATTTCATTCAATTCATCTTAACAAAATTAATGGTTTTTCTCATATAAATGTCATCACCATCATAATATTATTAAACCATATATTTTATCTAAATAATATATTCACATAAAAAGTAATTATATAGAATAAATATTACCTCCAGCCACATTCAATGAATCCTTAAAATTCTCACATTGACAAATTGTAATCTTCATCTTCATTTTCCATTTAAAATATGATTATCCAAGTTTCCCTCTAACTTTTACATAAAACATGATACAAAACTATTTATAAATATTCTATTAAAGTTAACATTGTATCTAAAATATAGTAATTTTATGATTCTTTAAGCTATGTGGAAAAAGCACATATCAAAAATGAAATAAATACAAATTAAATATGTAATGTTTTATAGTTAAAAATGATCATTAATATAAATAAAGTGACTTTAAAGATTTTGAATATAGAAATATTACAATAATTAGAAATATTTTTCTATACCAATTTATTAAAACTAAATTAGGAATAAAAATGTTCATATAAAAAAATTTCATATTTCAAATTAATATGAAAATTATAATTTTTCTGTAATTCGAGTATTATTCGATATATTTTTTAATAAATAATAAAAACTAAAATATATTAAAATTAAAATTATGTTTTTATAAATAATTATTTTTATAAAAATAATAGAAAAAATATTAACTATTATTATTAATTAATTCTGAATCAAAATGAACAAATAATATTAAGAAAAAATTAATAATCATTTGAATTTATATAAAGATGTTTGATAAACTTTATTTATTATTTTGAACCATTTAAAAATAAATTTATTTTTTAATATATTTGATTTCTAATAAAAATTATCTTTTCGTTAAAACTACAATTATTTACGAAATTTGTAATTATTTAAACAAATAAATATTTTATAGACTATTTTTTAAAAATAATAATTTAATTTTTCTGGTCTATTGAAATCTGTTATATCAAAAATACATGTATGTCTTAATATAACGATAAAAAATATTTATTGTAAAGTTTATTAAAGACAACGTTATTCTAAAAATTAAGTTTTATAAGACAAAATATAATAAATATTTATTTTGTTTGATATTTAAATGTTATAAAGAATCATTATAAAATGTAAGTGATTTATATATAAGGATTAAATACTCAAGAATACTAATCTCATGTATACTTACAAATTATAATTGAAACCTTGATATCTTTGAACTAATATTAAGTTATGAAAAAAATTATTAATGCAAGTGGTATAATTAAAAATGTAATGGGCTTTATTTGATTTAAATGGGTCTTCCGGCATATTATTTCTGCGTTATGTGTACATCTGAAACATGACACATTTTCATAAAAATCAATGAAATCTGAAGATTACATAAATCAAGATCTTTTTATCGCGAACATCTGACTATTCGTAAACAAGCAAAGGATTCGAAATGAAAAGTATATCCAGTGAGCGCAAATAAATCTGTTTATACCTCGAAATTTTGTTATTCTCGAAAAGTCAAGAGAAAAAATCCAGCTTTTAAATCTCTGAATTTAAAATTCAGATTAATATAATAAATAGTGGACAACGGCCAATTAATTTCAAGTACCAACACGATTTAATGCTCCGTCGTTAACTACAATCAGGCAGATTCTCAAAAACATTTACAATACCGGGAACTAGGACAGACTGGGGCACCGAAGACAGTAACGACGATAACACTGCTACGTCACATGCGCGCGCACTCACGCAAACACGTTGCGAAACGGCCAACGCGGCGACCGCGCGCACACTAGGCGCTCGGAGAATTTGCGAATAAACTCCTGAAATCAACCCCCCACCATCCCCTCAACATCCCCCACTAGTACCCGATCGTAGATGAATTTTGGAGATGCGCGTATGTACTCAGCAGACCCAGTTGTTCTCGGTATGTTTGCCACCCCTGCTTGTTCCCACCATCGCCATCACCACCATCATCCACCCCGCCGCTTTAACTCAATCACCAACACCAGCCAACAGCAACGCTAGCCCTTGCATCATACCTCTTGATAACTTTCTAATCTATGTATCGTGAACTGTTTTGACGTTTTGCTATGGCTTTCCCAAGATCTGCCAACAATCTTTTCCAATTTCTCTAGTCTTTTTGTGTCTTTTTTCGCTTTTGTATTCATATTTCCTGGCTACTCAAACTATTTTCTGGTTGCCAATCCTATATTATCAAAGCTCTTTACTCGCCTATATTCTTTGCTTCACTCATTTTCTAAATAGGCTTCCTGTGAATTAGTCCGCTGCATTATCTCCCTTCATACTCATTCGAAAAATTGATTTTAGTTTTATTTTTCTATATAATTTTAAGAAAATATTTTCACGTATTATAATAATCTGAATATGTTTATAAAGTAATTGCTTCATCCGAATAAATATATATATATATATATATATATATCATTTTCATAAAAACCATTTGTCAATACCTCAATGTTTTGGTATATCTAGGGTATTAACCATATACAATAAAAATGTATAATGACCAATAAAATATTTTGATAAATGTAATAACTACAATTTTAATTAAATTTACATAAATATAAATACGCAGGCCATAAAGCATGGTCCTTCAAAATTTATAGTCCTATTTATTATTGAATTCGTTTGAACATTCCTTTCGTAATAATATATATATAACTTACTTATATTTATGTGTAAAATATACCACAAGAAATTCATATGCATTTGAATAAACATTTTATTTTTTGATATATATAAATATTCTTTATATAAATACATATTTTTATATTAGTTTAATTTTTACATTTTATTGACTTTCAAATTTGACAAATTCATTGAAAGATAAAAGTTGTATGAATATATAACGGAAACGCTTGCAATTTCCAACGTAAATACATTAATATTGAAATGTTTATTGTGAGTAATGAAAATTTATTAAAATTTATATTAATTAGTAATTAATTCATGTTTATTATTATATTAATAATTCTCATTCAAATGAAATGTTTAATATATTTCTTTTGTAATTCTATAATGTAAGATTACGTTCAAAATTATATTTGTATGATTCTCCATATTTCCATTGTATTTTTATAAAAACAAAATAATAAAAATCTAATACAGTAAATTTAACTAATTATGCGATATATTTAAAAGCTGATCTTTTAACAACATGAACAGAGATGCAAAATTAAGCGACTGCTATCCAATGTTTTTATTATTAATTCAAAAAACTTTTTTCATTAATTTTAAATGTTGAGTACACTAACTCGCGTACAATAAAATTGATCAACGTAAAATATACTTATGTATTATGATGTAACTGATCGTAAACATAAATAAATAGCTAAATAAGGAATTACTTATTCGAACATCTGAATTTATAAATAATCAATTTTCTAAGTAAAATAAAATAATATCAGTCTTTATTTACTAAATTAATATATGTATAATTGTATTATTAAATTTTTTATCTAATTAACTTTCATTTCATAATAAAAATTTAAAAATATACGATTAAAACTCAAACTAGCACTGTTAAATTCTCATATTGTTTATTATTATTCTCATATTATTATTACCTTTGATACAAAAACTTACTATTGCAATAATAAAATAATCAATAAATTTCAATACAATAATCAATACTAACTTAATCATCTACTCTACCATTAATAAGAATTAATATTATTCACGATAAAGTTTTTCTTGTAAATATTATATCTATATAGTATTTTTTCCCATATATCAATGAACTTTTTATTCTAGAATATATATAACTATAATAGTATTTACCATTAATATAAGAAAAATCATGAATATTGGTAAAATAGTAATCATTTCTTATTTTTAATTTTCTTTTACATGCTGTAATAATTCATTAATAAAAAAAAATTTATAACTTCAATTTATTATCTTTCTCGGTAAATTTTATAATAAATATAAATAAATGTTCCTTCATGATGTATTAGGATTAAAATGCAATTATGATCTTCTTTAAACGAATTAAATATTTATGCAATGATGTTTTAGTTAATATTTAAATATGGTTATTTAATAATAGTTCTTACGTAATTGATTCTTAAATTTCTATTTAGATAAAATACAATAACCAAATTTAATAGATATTTTTTTTACAATTTTTTTTACTTTTTATTCGTAAATATATAATATAAAAGATAAATTAGTATTTACTAAAGAATTTAAATATTTAGTATGTAAAACTCGTCAATATCAATTTTATTTTTCAAAATTCTGCTTATTGATACTTCAAATATACATAAGAATAATAACTTTAATATCATAGATCCAGTAAAATAAGTAAATTTTTAAGGGAAATATCAATATAATAACAATCATACTTATAATAAATTTAAATAATAAATAATAAATTTTTCTTTTCATTAGACAATTGTTACATTACATAAATGTACCAATTACATTCTATAACATTTATCGTATCAATAAAAAAACTTTACATTAAATATTAAAATTATTATAAATTTATTAATAAATAGAATTATTATTAATAATTAATGCATTATTATTTGTTATTTATTTATTAATAACTTTATTATTTTCTAAAGTTATTTTATAAACTTTTCAATATTTCTTTGCATTTTACAACAATGTGCTTTTATCACACGTCTAGAGTTGACTCGGATGATGTGCTGCGTATTTATCAAAAGTCTGTAATCGTAAATTATAAAGTCGGGTCTCTTTTTATTTCAATGTTTTGCACTTGTGATTAAACAATTACAATACTCAATTAGTGTAGTTTAGTAACAAAAATTAAATCACGCAAACTAGGCTGCAAACGATTTTTGAAAAATTTCAAACTACTTACACATATAAATACGTAAAAAATTATATATATCGAATAGCTAAAGCACAAAATACTTTGTTTAATTCGCTTATTTGTATAATTGAAGTTATTTAGCAAACCTCGTGTATTATTCTGATCTTGTAAGAGAAGACTTCGATAAATTCTATGGACCTCATAACTATTTGAATCGTGTTGTAGACTTTGCATGAGAGTTTAATTACTTCTATGCAATTCCTTTTTCCAGCAAGACGCAGAAAACTTTCCTTCATAGAAGGAGAAAAAATAAAAAATAGAAGGTAAATGAAGAATTGAGATCTAGTATTACTGTTGCTGTAAATGAATTACCTTCTTCACGAAAGATTCTTTGTCTAATTGACGAACATCACTTAGAAAACAAATTTAAGAAAGTTTAAAGTTTTCTATAGAAATTTAAAATTCAATTTTTTTCGTATTTTTATATTAGTTAGAATAAAATTGACTCAATGAAATAAAAGTATTATGCATTTTTAATTTATAAAGAAATTTATACAATATGTAAACTTAAAATATGAGTTATGTCCTATAATATAACATTAATCGATTTTTTTAATAAAAATTAATATAGAAAAATTAATCGTTTAAATTTAATTATAGATAAAGAAAAATAAATTTACTACTGTTTTATTTAAGTATTTAACAAAATAAAATAAAAAAGTTTTCATTAATCAAAAAATAAATTTTATTTTCTTCAATTATAATAATACTTCACCTATAATTTACACATATTAAAATTAACTTTCCTATAAATTAAAATTTCTAAGAAATTCGTGTTATACAAAATTTTCAGAATAAATTTGCGATGACTAAGTATTATTCGAATGAGCCAAGAGTAAGTAAAGTAATATTTTGCAGTCTCGACAGTTCACGTATTTATCCTAAATTTATGAATATTTGTTATAATATATTTTCTCAATCTCATTTAAATTAATAATTCCATTTTACAATACTAAATTACGAAAACTTTATTGTTTATTTTCTACTATTCCAATCTTCCAATTTTATTTGATATGCCTAAAGAGTTAACAACTTTTCGTAAAATAATAAATTTTCATTTTAATTAAAACTTATAAGAATTCAATATTAAGTTTTCATTAAGTCATATTGCTTCTTTTCTGCTGTTCTTTTAGCTCTTACTTTTTCGATTTCCCTTCCTCACACATACTTGCACATCCTCTATTTGATACTATCTATTTACAAATCACTCTCTCACTTTCTGTTTCTCTTTAACTCACTCAGTCAAGTGGCATAATGGATACTACTCATTCATATTCGAATACATATATCACATATTTTTCATACATGAAACTTTCCAAAAATTACAAAAGGGGGATAATTTTTAATT